ACAGTCAAATGACTTAATAATCGGTCACATCCAAATTGAATGTGCTGTTAGTCTTTTACTAGTTTTAGGTGTTTTTGGTTAATTTCTAGCATAGTTTCAAAAAGCTGTTCAGGGGTACTTATGGAAAAGATATAAAAGATTGTCTCTAGGCCTTCTTGTCTTGCCTTCTCCAAGTAATATTATTTGATGTTATGCATACACTGGTGAAAAGATGTACAATTTTACATGCAATTATTGTCTATGTTCTACGTAGTTTAGCGCAATACGACTTGCATTGAATTAAATGATTATGCATACTTTCAGTGAGAATTTTAAATGTTTGTTCACTACCTTTGCTTTCTTTAGTTCTATACTCGGCTGATTTCTTCTATTTGAGGCTACTTAAAAACTTTTATCACTACTCGTTTCAGAAGTCAAGCTTTCTTCTATTCTTGACTTCCGGTTCATCCTGGTTTCTATGTTGTAAAATTGACTTGTACATTAAAAATTATTACGCTTAGAACATACTCGTGCGATTACAGTACTTATTATAAGTCACGAAGTCATATATATTTTCTTTTTTATTTTCACATATGTGATCAAATATTTGAATTATTATAAGTACTATGTTTATTGCGAATGAGACTTGGTTGTACTCAAGGCTCACGCATCTTGAGGCTATTGTGAACCCCATTTTACCTTCAGTATAGCAACAACACTGTCACTTATGTATGCTTGCATAGAATTACTCCCTCCACCTCTTATCATTGCCCAATTTGACTGTAGTGGAATTTAAGAAAATGAAATCTGTGTGGTTAAAATTTATGTAGAAGGGAGATGCATAATGTGAACCACATATTGGTTTCTTGCATGCAAATGAGACAATTTTTGGATGAGCATAAAAGAAAAGTGTGAACATAATTTAGGGATTACAGTAGTATTAATTTATAATTCTATTATATCCATTTGGTGAAAAAGAGTTGAGGTTTTATAGTTAGAAATTTAGTTTCTTTTTTAGTTGTCATCATCCATTTCTAAGATTATAAACATACTTTCTAGCTCTCTATGTGCTACTCCCTTTATCCCATTAAACTCTTGAAACTTTGACTTCACAAAGTTTAAAAAGTTACTGGGTATTAAAAAGTAAAAAGTGTGTGGCTAGAGTTTGTTTAGAGGAGAGAGAATTGTTGGTAGCCACATATTCATTACCAAAATAGGGAATAAAGTAAGGGTAAAGTTTATTTGGGACGTCCAAAAAAAGAAAGTCTAAAGAATTTTATGGCACAGAGGGAGTATTATATAATGGGTGTCTCATTGTAGTGCCATAGTGCTCATTTTGTTCTGTAGAATGTATAAGCGTTTACGACAATCCTCCTCTTCTGCTTTCTTGATGGTTGTAAGTTTGTAACACTAAAGACAATTCTGAAGCACACAAAACAATATAAATATGAATTTTTTTAACCTTTGTGCTTTACGAAGCAATGTTCCGAACAGAACTTGACCATAACAATTATCTCACCTAACAGCCCTCTCAGAATACTATCATGCTAGCCCATCCCCCCACCCACCCACCCAGCCAAAATAATGATGTTATTTTTGGAATGAACATTTTTTATGCAGGAAACCTACTCAACTGATTGAAGTTCATTCTGTTTTACAAGATAAGGTTCCAGTCATCAAGAGGTTTACTGGTGGAGGAACAGTGATTGTTGATAATGGCACTATATTTGCATCCTTCATATGCAATAAGGATGCTGTTCCAGGTGTTCAACCATATCCCCAACCTATCATGTCATGGAGCAACATATTATACAAAAATGTGTTTCAAGGCATTGGAGATTTTGCTCTTCGTGAAAATGGTGCGCATATAATACAACTATAATCTTGTACTTCTCAATTTCTCATGTCCTGCCATTTTTTTACCCTTTTTTTGTGTTCGTCCCACTGATTTTTTCGTACCATATTTCCTAGGGAGTAATATAAGTGTAGCTCACATTCGTCATCATTTTTCCTTACTTTTTAACTTCAATATCAATCACACAATTCCCCTTTTTAGAAATGTTTGTCACTTCTTGTCCCGAAGATAGTGAGACAGAGGGTGTAATTGTTAAATGAATTGTGTCACTCTAGAAAAGTTATACTCTTCCATAAAGGCAATTTTTATGGCGTATTAAATCCGGACAGAGGTAGGATTATGGAGTATTGATTGCATGCTGCCTTTTAGTCTAGTGTGGATCCTTAAGCCATAGTTCATTCATCTGCCATATTTCCATCTTTCACATAAGCTTGTTTCCTTCTTGACGGAATGGGTGGAATTCATTTCGTGTCAAGTGTTGGCCTGTTGGGAAATGAGTTCATGACTTCAGAAACTTAAAAATCCTTACTTTCACATTTATTTTGGTTGGTTGGAAGTGTGCTGCTCACGTAACTCTTCAGATTTTCTTTGAACTTCTTCAGATTATGTATTTGGCAACCATAAGTTTGGTGGAAATGCGCAGTCTATCACAAAAAACAGGTGGATTCATCATACATCGTTTCTATGGGATTTCGCAACACCAAACATGGCTTATCTCAAACTTCCAAAACGAGCTCCTGACTATAGACAGGTGTGCTAACTACATCCTCGCTCCCCACACCGACCTTTTAATTTTCTCTTCCAATTTCCATACATAAAAATATAAAATATACCTCCCTCCATCTCATAGAAAGAGTCATGTTTTAACTAAGATAGAACAATCGAAAATCATCAATTTTAGCTATATATTTTAAAATTTATTTGTTGTTTAATTTAGTTCAATTCCTTCAACTTGTTCGCGAAACTCTATTTCAATGAACAAAGGTTAAATATGATGAAAGTTAGCCCATGTTTTGTCATCCATTTGTTATTCTGGCAACACGCAACTTTAAGTTTGCATAATATATGTGCATTAGCCATTAGAGCATTACAACTCATTTGATTCCCTTTCAAGCGATTTGAATTCTTAGACACTCGGATTTATATGTATAAATGGATCAAATTATGATCTACACCAGGCAAGAGGGCATTTGGAGTTCATATGCAGACTGAAGGACTACATGTCCAGAACAGCCTTCATCGATAAGACCATAGATGCAGCCAGAAGTTATTTTTCTGTGAGATTACTGGAGCTTGAAGAAATTCAACGAGACACGTTGAGCATCAAATTTACACCTGCTTCTAGGCTTGTTACATGTGAGGAGTTGGAGAAAGAGGCTGCCATTCTTGGGGTAACAAGCACCAAACAGACAAGATGATTTTGGGGCCCTTAAATTTCTGATTTTTGGTACAGAGGAAGTATACATCCACAAGCTAATATAGGCTTTCTCCCATTAATATATTGAAGCACACAAAGATAATAACATTGGCAATGCTAATGCTTGTTTGGCCTTTCACTTCACCAATTGCTTTCTTCAACTTGCTTGGCATTATTTATTTCTTATCTAACAAGCCTACAATGAAATGGTTCTTGTGTCTTCACAATTTGCCTAAGATTTGTTCTTGGTGGATAAAGGGAGGGGAGATTCTTTGGAGATTATTTTCGTTTTTTCATCTTTTTTTTTCGAATAGTTTAATTTGGTTTTTTTCCTTCATGGAAATGAGCGAATGTCTTAGAGCCACGTCACTATCCATAACCAACAAACAAAATCTTAAATACTCTAACGTTTGACCATTTATAATTTGGAAGGACGGTATGATCTAATTCTCAAACAATACAAAGCATTCATTTATAGCATTACAATCAAAATCCACAAGACCAAAGAGCTCTCAATGCATGCCTAAAAATAAGCTTAAGAAACACTTAGGGGAGTGATGGAGTATCTCACTAGAGATTATAGAAACACTTAGGGGAGTTGTATATGTACACTCTAGAGTTTGTTAGTGTAGATTACTTTTCTAAGAATAGAGAATAGTGAATTCGAAGCAAAATAGCTATGAATCATATCAACTCTCAAAAATACCTACCAAGTCCTTCTATACTATTTACTCCTTCCTTATTTATCATTTTATTTTCAACTTTATATTATTTTTCTAAAAAAGCAGCTCTACATATATTTATTTTTTAAAGATTGACAATATTACCCCTTTAATTTGAAATATCTCATCCTCATCCTACCATATATGCTTTATCTCGTGGTGGATTCAGAAAAAAATATTACTCGGGGCAAATTTATGGTAAAGACTAGGGATGAGGTTCAAGAGCAGTGTCTCCGAAATCTTTTTTAAAGCTATTTATAATGATGACAAATGAATATATTTACTTTCAAATAAGTAAGATAAAATATTATTAAAGTAGAAAAATGTAATATTAAATATATAATAACCTAATAGAACTATGATATTATTTTATCTTTATATTTTACAATATTTAAATTATTATTTCTTACTTGTAAACTAAAATTTTCTTTTGGCATCGAGGACATACATTTTTTAACCAGGGATGCTCTTTTAATTTATCATAATTTTTTAAAAACTATATACTTTCTACCTTCCATAAGATTTTTCAAAGACAAAAAAAGGCGCGCTCCAAAAATGAGTAGTTTTGATATTATTTTCTATTTTAATTTATCATAAAATGACTATGCTAGTTGGAGTCATGTGAAGTAATGTAGGTTAATTAGACTATTAGATTATATTTTCCAAATCTGAAGAGAATGAATGACACATTTTTTAGAATAAGCAGTATTTTATTTCAGAATAAACAATACATTATTTATAAATAAATATTATAATTATATTGAACAAATTGATGAAAATGTGTTAAAAATGTGTAAATACTCCCTCCATCCACAAATAAACTTTACGTTCACTATTCACAGGGTCAAACTTTATTCACTTTGTTGGCCTATTTTCATCACCCATTTGATAAAATAATATAGTTATGTCACATTTAGTTTTGTAGATCTTTTGATATAATTTTTTAATATGTAATTTTTATTTTTCAATTCTACAACATTTTTCATATAAAATGATTGGAAAATAAATTCAGTCAAATATCGTAACCCTTAAATAAAGTTTATTCATGGAGGAGGGAGCATGAGTACTTCTGTTCCGTCTACCTTCTGGGTCAACTTCATTCCCGTCTCAAATTTTCCCTCGATAAGTTTTTCCAATTTCTAGTCTTTGCTTCCAGAAAGATCAGCAGCATCCATCATCGAAGACCTTTAGAGAGCAAGTCTGCAATGTCGTCGTCGGCGATTTCTCGGCTCTGTTGCTTCTCTTCCATTGAGCCCCGTGCGCAGCTCCGTCCACAATTCTTTCCACCGCATTCTCTCCGGCCCAAGGTCAGTAGCGATCCATTTTAGTTTCCAGAAATGTCCGGAATACTTTTCCGTTTGTGAGATATATTAATCATCGCACCCAGTGTTTTTGTACTCTTTTCCAATTGAACCAATTAACTCTCAAAAATTCGAACTTTAGGCTTTAGCGTCCTTCATCGCTCTCTTATGTCTATTGCATTGTGTTTGTCTATGTTAGTGTTATTTCGCACAATGATTATATGAAGCGAGCAACTGCAATCAAATTGGCTTCAGATGAACAATCAATCAAAATGTGCAGATTCGTACATGAACTAGATCTAACTTAATTTTTCTGTTGATGGATGGATGCTTTTATATGTATCATTTTTGTACGCTTTAAGGATTCTGTAATGTGAATGCTAAGCTTGGCTGTGTTTTGGTTTGAGTAAGACTTTTTTGCTTTTGAGATTGCGGAGTTATTTCAGCTCAGATCACTACGTCTTCAGGTTTTTATATGTATGAGTTATGATGGGCATGGCAAAGATGTATCCAGCGTAGAGGATAGGGCTAGTCTAAGCTATACATCAGAAAAACCACTTTCAGCTCCAGTAGAATCTGTAACTGGAAAAAGTTTGAGTGAGCCACTACAAGGACAAAATGAGCTGGTGGAGGGAGATATCTCCTCTCAACCTAAAAGGGCTGCAAGAATTCACGATTTCTGTTTTGGGATACCATTCGGTAAGTATCCCAAGTCCCAAGTATGTTGGATTTGCATTTCGAAAAGGAAATAATTAGTTTAAGTCAATTGTTTGCATTAAGTCGCAGATTCAAAAAAAAAAGTTGTTTTAGTCCCTCAGTCTCATACTCTCATTAATTGGGCAAGTGCCCCCAACTCCCCATCAACCACTCAATTTCTTGAGATTCCTTCTTACGGATTAGTACATGTGCTTTTCATTTGTAAACCTGATATTTATTTGTAGTTTCTCTGGTTCTCTTACAAAGAACTGAACTGACTAACATGTTTTTAATGAGTCCACCACTGAAAGAACTGAAATTATCACAATCTGGAATTGTTTGTAGGTTGTTTGCAGGATGTACATATAAAAAGAAAGCAGAACTTCCTTTTTAAAAAATAGTTTTCTGATCATTTAAGCCTAAGCCGATTTTGTTGTGAAGGCTTTGCTTTATTGGAACATTGTTTGATGGGAAAATTCTCTTACAGGTGGTTTTGTTCTAAGCGGAGGACTACTTGGTTTTATTTTCTCTAGGAATCTTGCCAATTTAGGTTATGGTGTTTTGTATGGAGGTTCTTTGCTAGCTCTGAGCATTACTAGCTTGAAGGTGTGGAGACAAGGAAACTCTAGCTTGCCATTTATACTAGGCCAAGCAGGTAGTTCTATTCCCTGCTGATAGTTGGTCATTTCTCATAGTTCACAAGTTATGGTATTGGACATCTTTAAAATTATGTTCCTTGTCATTATTATTTTGTGTATCAAACCACAAATATGTTAGGCTTACTTCATTCCAGTAAAAAAAGAAGACTAAAAGTCCTATTTGTTCAAGGTTTAAGTTTTTATAGTTATTTTTGCTAAGTATACATATAAAGAATAATGAGATCACATTTATATGTTTAAAATTTAGTTGCATTAATTTATACTGTTTTTTAATGGTTTAAAGTATTTATGAATATGCAAAAAAGCAGTGACAATGTTTTGCGCCTGATACTAAAGTTAAAAAGTTGTACGCTGGTCAAAGTATCTTCTTTTCAAGATCATTTTGTGAAGTTTGCTACCAATTGTATGCTACGCTAAACACAACTTAACAATTCTATTTATGACACTTTGAAGACTTTATTTTATGATATATACATTCTGTAAAGATCAGAACAAGTTTCTTATCATGCAACACACGGTATGATTCTAGTACTACGTAAAAAAACATGTGCAGTGTTAATTTATCTGTTTTCAATTGCAATAGACATGGTGTTGGAGGCGATTAGGCAGGTAAATATTGACATCTTGAGCTTGTAATCAGGTCACACTTCTGGATTGGCTCCAGATGTGTGCTTAAACTTTCAAAGTGCATTAATAAGGCCCTCCTGGCAAGCTCATATGCATGGTTGGAAGAAAATGGTTTGGTTTAATTGTATTTATGCGCCTAGTATTCCATATGCCCACAGTATGGGTATTGATTACTGAATGCTCCTGAACTTTTTATTGGATGAATGTCTATGCATATCTGGTTGAGAAATAATTATTTGAAGTTCTGCAGATCTTTTTTGTTGTTGCATTTGTTATATGAAGTAGAACCATGTGATTAACCCAACTAGATTGGAGCTGTGATTGGTATATATTACTCCCTCCGTCCCATGAAACCTTTCTCCTTTCTTTTTTTATCCGTCCCACAAAACACTTCTCATTTCTTTTAAAAAGTCATTTTTACCCCTTACTTTTTCATACCCTAACTATCAAATCATACCTTTTTACTAATAATTTATCCATCAAATCATACTTTTACCCATCAAATCAAAGGACATTTTTGGAAATTCAATACCAAAATATACTCCCCTTAAATCCCTCCTAAAAAGCAAAAGTCCCATGTTTCATGGGACGGAGGGAGTATTATTTATTGTATCATTGATCTAATCCTTTATTGTTTTGTCATGCTTTTGACCATGCAGTACTTGCCGGTTCCCTATTAGTGAAGAATGTGATGACGTACTCATTGGTATTACAATACTCAATAAATTTTTTTATGTGACTTTATAATGCTTTATTTAATTGGAAAGTTATATCTGATGCAGACAAAGAAAGTGTTTCCAACTGGCGTATATGCTACCATCAGGTATGCTGGTTTCAATGGTTTGTTAAATTGTTACATTCTAAGTGCCCGGTTGGTTATCTCTCATTTCTTGTTTTATGGACGTGGTGTTTTTTTCATCAAAATAATTTATTTTTGTTTAATTCTGCGGGTTGAATTGGCTGATAATAAAAAAAAAGTGATGTAAAACTTTCTGTTTTTTTCCCGAAGTTGTTGATACGAATGAAAATGGCACTTCTCCCTAATTTTCAAAACCCCTTTTGACCTGGAGTAGTGACTTTATTGTATTTAAGAAAATAAGCACTCTCTGTTCCTAGAAGAGAAATACTCCGGCTTCTTTTTCACTAGTTTAGAGTTGTATATGACCATGTAAGAATGTGGCAAAGAAGAATAGTTTGTGATCCAGAAAAGGTAATTATGGGTAAAATTGTCCATCTACAAACAAATTTACAAAAACAAGTGAAACAACTATTTACTTATAACCTTGAGGAAATTGGAACAACTAAAAAAGAAGTGATCTTTCCAATAATTAAACAATTTCAGACACAAGTTGAGCACCCATACCGAAGATCAATAATACGGAGTATATTCTTGTGAACATGGGAATGGTCTTATTTGCTTAGAGTATGGGCTAACAATGATTCTCACCATATACTTTCTCTGCTATAGTGCTGCAATGCTGTGCTTTTATGTATACGTGGTTATTTCTGGCGGAAATCCACCACCCAAGAAACTGAAGACGAATGCTTCTGCTGCTGCTGTAGCCACATCTTAGCGTTCTTGTCTCAGGTTCAAGGCGGGGATCAAACAATTTGTTTCTGGCCGCATTAGGGGCCTTTCAACTTTATATGTGCACAGAAACTGTGGTAAAAATCTCCGCTTAGCTTCTATTAACCCTTTTCTTTGGCAACGTATATGTTGCAATCCGGCTTAAGCTGCAACTTGTTTACCTATTATGGCGATACTGAGTCTTCTTCTTTTTTATTGAAATTTCCTGAGCTGAAAAGTACTCAATTGTAAGCTGGATAATTTAGTTCTGATGGATGTTTGATGTGGATCTGTAATTACATTTTTATGAAACCATTATAGCACACTTTGCATCCCCTGTTTCGGCACAGTATGTTTATTTTCCCATTTTGGACTATCCTTTTTTTTTTCTTCCAAAAGAGGTGTGGCTGGGTGAGTGCTCGCCTCGTCCCTTAACCATGAGGTCAAGGGTTCAATCCCTCACCATGGGAATGGACCACATTTCTTGGCCAACCGTTTCTCGCTTCGGGGAGGACCTGCGGCGTGGAGATTACTCATCATTGTCTGAAATGGATATCCGGGTTTAATACCCAAAAAATGAGGTTTGGTATGATTTACTCCTTCGGTCTTTAAATGATTTACACTTTACGCAAAGCGAAATAAAATCTCAAGTTTTTTCAATTCATTTTATTTAAATATTGGTATATAAATAAAAAAATAAAAGTTTCATATTTAAAAAGTATATTAAAAGTTTTATAAAATAAAAAGCGACAAAAATATTTTATTTTTTCAAATTTTCAATGAAAAGACATAAATAAACAAAAGTTTCAATAATATTTGAATAGTGAAATGTATAAATCATTTAGTGACGGAGAGAGTATGTAAGTAGTTCAAGTCAATTCATGGTTTCTCAATTTCTTGGAGTGCTCTGTATCAACCATGCCATTCTCATTTTGCTTAATATGTGTCACCCTGTTATGTTCCAAAAATTTGGGATAGAAGAAGTGGAGTATACTTTAATAAACATTGGTGTAAAATTAATTTAATAATTACTTCCTCCAACCCAATTTATAATGCATGTTTACTATTCACAGTGTCAAACTTCATTTATTTTCGTTAGCAATTTGATAAAATAAAGTATTATTGTCACTACTAGTTTTATAGATTTTTTGATGTAGTATTTTAATATGTAATTTTTTTTAACTCTACCATTTGTCATAAAAAATCATTTGAAAATAATTTCAGTCAAACATCGTAAATCGAAACAGGCACTATAAATTGGGACGGAAGGAGTACTTATGATAAGACAATTATTTTAATGTTGTAGACTTGGTTCTTATACTGCTTCGTGCGTCAATATTTACATCTACGTTTTTAGTTTGGTATAAATGAGTAAGAAAAATAATTAAAATCGATCATACCTTAAGTTTTAGCTTTGACACCTATATGTCGTCGACTACAATTCTCAAATACAATGTTTTTAGTTATTCTTTTCCCCAAATATTATTCTTTTTCCCTAATAAGTTTCATTCTTTTTGTCATTAATAAGAAGAGTTTCATGGGTGAAATAGAATGATGTTAATTGTGTCACAGGCGGTTCCCAAATAAACCCGAACAAAACTAGAAATCGAAACTAGCTAGAATCATGCCACAAAGACCAGAGCCAAAGCCGAGGCAACAACCCATAATCAAAACCTAAGGCCTTAAGTCGAGAACCGAAGTCAGAACACGCAGATTAGCCAGACAAAACCCAAGGCCCTTGTTCAAAACAGAATCAAAGTATCATAGACCAAGCTAACATCGTTGTCCATAGAGGTTGGAACAGACCTACCCCCAAAACCAACTTGGTACACATACTAGGATCAAACAAGATTCAGACCAAGGCACAAAGCTCAAAGTGAGAAATCCTGTTGCACCCAACCACAACACAAAAACAACTAAGAAAAATGAAAGGGAGAAAGGGGAGAAGAGAGAAAAGAAAAAAAAATAAAAGGAGGAAATGAAGACGAAGAAGAAGAAGGAGAAGAGGGAATAGCCAAGCCTCTCAACACAAAGGTGGCACATATGCCACAATCACCAACAGAGATCCAAACCCATTTCACAAAGACCATAGGGAAGAGCCAAGTCTCTCAGCCCAGTAGAAGCAAAAGGGACGTGGTCAAAAGACAAAACACAAAGTGATATGAGTACAAAGTAAAATGGATATACCCGAGCCAAGGCCAGCATCCAAAAGGTGTTGAAAGCAAAACCCCTACCAATAAAGGTCACCGCTTCCACAGATCAAATCAAATCAAAAGAACGTGTTGAATAGACTCTTATGCTAGGTCAACACATTAACTTAAACCTATAGGCATGTGTACGGTTGTACGGTCATTTTGTTTTTACGCAGTATAAAAAAAGATATGAACCCATTTCCAAGGACTCCTAAAAGACGGTCGAACGGTCACCTGAGAAAAGGTGAACAAGACAAAACTAAGAGGGTACGTTTTTTGTGTAGTCGGCCAACAGCATTATGGCCCCACCACAAAATCTCTGACCTCCAACTTGGACCTATGGAATATTATACATTGCTTGCCCGCAGTCATTCAGTCATACACTAATTAGGGCTGAGATTTTTTTCCAGAACGAGCATTGGTGCTAGTGATACCTACAAAAATAGAGTCAAATTCTCAAACTCATAAATAGATGAAAATATGCTTATTTTTGTTGGTAAGGTGACTCGAACTCAAGACTTCCTCCCATAAAGAGAGAATCTTAAATGTGGTGTCCGCATGGGGTAGCTCAACTGGTTTCAGAAGTGGAATTTGGAACATAAGACCAAGGATCGAACCTCACCCGCAGTAGTGTGGGAGCAATCTCTCAAAAAATGAGGGAGACTCCTTGTGCGCAGTGAGCACTGGCATTGGTCCCAACTTCTGTTGCCGGTTAAGTCACCATGATTTACATCCTCTCACAATCCCGTCAGGCAAGGAGTGAGGGACGTCCAGGGTGAGCGATTTCTCCTTTTGGAACAAGAATCTTAAATGTGGAGTCGTTGCCATCGGACCAATCTATCTTGCCCAAAACAACGTCGGCTAGATTATCCAAATGCAAAACCAAACAGCGCCACCAACAGCCATGTCACCATCTTTGCTACATAGACTTTTTTTAAAACATTGGAGATAAACTTTTCATACTAACCAGTCCACTGCATTGCGCCCCCATAACAAAAAAAAATTCGACTTTCGTTTTGGACTTATAGATTAGTATATGACATTTGCCCTTATTCGTTTGGTTATACCCCAACTAGGGCTAAAATTTTATTAGAGTGCAAGTTCTTGTAATAGTACTTAGGAAAACAAAATCAAATTCTTGAACTCATAAATAAATACTCCCTCCGTCCCACTGTCTTTGTCCATTTATCTTTTGGCACACCATCCAATGCACTTCTTTAATCCATTTTATCTTGTAATTTGTATATTAAAAAATTATAGAAATTATATATTAATAATCTATATGTTAAGACAAATCAAACCAGATCACACATGACTATATTTAGACTTACACATTGAGAGAATTTGATGAGTCAAAGTGCTTAAATGAACAGTTCCAAAAGTCAAAAGTGGACAAAGATAGTGAGACGGAGGTAGTAATCTTCATACATCTTAGTATATACGGAGTAAATACCATATAAAGGCTTGGGCTTTTGTAAAAATAAAAAACAAAAAATATCCACAAGTCCAAACTCAAGGTACGCCTAAAGGATGCTAAATATGCTAAATTAGCTGTGGTGGTGGCAACAATACTCTCCCGATTTCTTATTATTTCGCATCAAATTCAATTTTCGGCACTTAGTTCGTGGCTTTTGAGGTTTCCAGTGGACGAATGATTCAAACCCAAGGTTAAATATCTCTTTCCCTGCTGCTGGAATGGGAAAAAATGGCAGACTTTTTGTGATAATTCTTGTATTCTTAATCGTTTCGTGCTGTTCGAGCGCCTTTAATTCAACGACGAACAGTTCTTCTATCGCTCCGCAACAGGTAATTTATTTATTTATTTTGAAAAATTAAATATTCTTTGATTTCTGTTGGGGAAAATGAAAAAGATGGTACCCTAAAAGATTCAATTTTTAGGGTTCGCAAGTGAACGAAACAGTAAGTGGCATTAAGGGTTTGAATGAAAGCTTAGGGATTGGAAAAGAAAAGCCTAAAGAGACTCAGAGGAGTGAAGATTTGAGTATAGGGAATGTGAAGGGCTCCAACAATGGAAGTAACACGGCTGTTGGGACACCGCCTTCGAAATCAAAGGGTAATGAAGAGAAAAAAGAAGTAGAAAATGCCAGCAAGGACAAGGATAATGAGAGCTGTGAAGGGGCATTACAGGAATGCAGCATTGAGAATACATTGCTTGCCTGCATACAAGTGTCAAGAAATGGTATAGTATTATCCATCTATTGCATAATACCCAGTACCTTGCCAGAATATTTTTTTCCCCTTGGAGCTAGAACATTAAAAAAATGGAAAAGAGAATGCGAAAAGTGGTGATTTGGAGTAAATGGGACCTAAATATCTTGATCTTGAAATTCATCAAGAAATAAAAAACTTTTAGGATGCAAAATTTCCTTAAATTGTAGAATGTGAGCTCCTCCCATTCAAATAGTTTGAAAATGGTACTTTTCAGGATCCCTATTTTTCATAATATTGACACTGCTGAAGCTTCCATTTGGTTAGAGGGAGGATTGACTCTTGAAATTGTATTGTGGAGATTTTTCGTTTTTAATTAAACCATTAACAATACAATTAGATGAATTTCATTTGGGGGGGGGTGGAGGTATAGCTAGTGGGTTGCATATTTGGGTGAGTTAATTCATATCTTCACTAACTACCAAATCACTCGTGTGGTGTGTCTTATCTTTCACTTTGTATGCCAAACAAGCTAAATGAGTTTTGATAGAATTCAATATTGGGTGATTGGGCCAGGGTCACTCAACTAGTCCACAGTGCTCATCCTTCAAACCACACAAAAAGATTAAATTCAATCGATTTTTTAGATTAATATAAGTTCTTATGAACCTGTCACGGGTTGCCTTTAAAAGAACCTATCTATCTCCAACCTTTCAATTTGTGGCTCTTCACACATCTCATTCTCTGCATTCTAAGTTTGAGTTGGCGCTTCTCCCTTTATGAGTTTTTTCATCCCTATGAATCTAGTCACTCCTCGTGTCCCATCTTCCTACCTAATCTGTTTTCTCTATCTAAAATATTTGCAAGACACAGTCAATGTAATGTTGAATTACGCAATTGATAATCATGCTCAAAAGTGTCCCACTTTCAATATGGTTGCAGGTTCAAAAGAACCATTCCTTGTGCTTCGGAATGATGCCGAAAGCAAGCTGGAAGTGAAAATTTATTCCTCAAATTCAGTGGGACAAGATCCTGTAGCTGTCAACAAACATCAGATAATAAGGGTATGGATTTATGTAATCTCTTGTTCTCTTTCTGTGTCCTCTGTTACCCGGAGTATTTTTTTTGGTTTTGACTTTTTTATATCAAATTATAAATTACTGGATCAAAGCAAGTTAATGACAAACTTTGCTCCCGAATTAGATGATGAAATGTTTCAAGGGATGTCATTGAAGTTGAAAAGAGAGATGCTTCATGCTTTGAGAGTGGCTGTGGAAGCCAAAATCAGATTCTTGATAACATGTTGAGATGTGTGTAGAGTAAAGAAGATTTGAACAATGCCGGATCAAACCCATTAAGAACAACTAGTAGAAGACTAACAACTACTTAATGATCCAACTTGCTTATACTGTTGCTTGATTTCCTTTTTAGAGACTACCATATTGCTTTGATGTGCTTTTTGCTTTTAAGAAAACTCTGACTATGCTTCCAGTAAAGTTAACCTAATAAACAACTAATATGGTATACTCAACACCTTTCATGCCACCAACTCCGGTACATGTGGGACTAAGGTGACAATGCTTTCATTACCAACATGAAAAAATATGATTGGAGTATTTTGAGAACTGTCGAGATAGATCCCATGACTTCAAATCTTTAGTTGTTGTCTAGGCTATGTTAACATCACTTTGAAGTGATTTCCTTTATTTTACTTTTTTGTTTTTTAAAAGACAACCTGAACTATGACCCGCTACACCCTTAGAGCTGAGACACGTTAACCTCAACTATCACTAGACCTATTTAAACCCTTCATTTTTAAAGACCATATGTACTCCATATAGAAACCCCTTAAAATCTCTTCCCTTTGCTTCCTCTGGGATTGATGTTAGGTGAACAGTCTGTGAACTCCCAAGTTTGTCTCTCATAGTCTCATGCACTCGAGACCAAGGAGGCTGCTCTAGTTTTTTTCCTGTGTTTTAATAATGTGAGTTTAGGTATTGTTTGGTACACAATGATTTTTCAAGCAATCCATTTTCTTCTTTTGCTATGTTTCAGAGGCAAAGGGGGCAATAAATTTCCCTTAGTATTTAAAAAAGCAGTTTTGCACGTCCTTGAAAAGAAGTGTGTTCCAGTACTATTTAGTAGGCTGTAATGTCAACTTTTGGATGAATTTGACACTTGAGAAATGGCTAGACCAAAAAATCACTCCCAGACCGGTAAATAAAATTCATATTTATTGTTCATTGTTTTATAGGGTCAAACTTTATCTTCTTATATTGCTTATTGCTTTAATAATTTATTACACTAAAACAGTCAAGTTACCTCTTGTTTTATAATGTATCATTTAGTTTTTAAATACTCCCTCTGTTCAGAATTAATCTCCCCATTTTCTTTTTCACGTAGTTTAAGAAAAATGAAATTCTTTGGTTGAGATCATTAGAAAGGACATAGAATTAATATAGACCACTAATTCCATTCCTTTTAAGGAATGAGAAGTTTATATTGGGACAATCCAGAAACAAAAGTGTGAAGATTAATTTAGGACGGAGGGAGTATATAAATTTTATTTTATATGAGCATTTAAATAAGTTCAAATTGAAAAACATCAATCAAGCACCGTATATCGAAATATGAAGATTATTTAGGAACAATATTGTTGGGAAGAAAATGTTAATGAAAATTAATATTCTTTGGGAAAACCTTATCCATGGAGTTTCCTTTTTTATCCTTTGAAATGTTTTTCCTCTATACCCTACACTGCCTTGATAAAAAAAGTTACTTCGTAGTATTATTTTTGTGAATTGTTTTCTTACATATAGAGTCCTGCATCTTCAACAGGTAAATATCTCATCAACATTGAGCAAAGGCTCCAAAATAGTAGTTGATACAGGTAGTAGTGGTAGATGTGAGCTTCAATTGGGTCAGTCTGTGGCGTCTATGGACAGCTTTGTCCAGCAGCTGTCCCTATACTCGAAACAAGTGACCCCCATCTATGGCGTCTACTTCCTGTTTCTGGTGGCACTTGTTATTGGTGGCACTTGGGCTTCCTGCAAGTTAAGGAAGAAGAGACAGCATGGCACTGTTCCCTATCAGGAACTGGAAATGGCGTTGCCGGAATCTTCTTCTGCCATAAATGTGGACGACGCCGCAGGAGACTGGGACCAGGGTTGGGACGACGATTGGGATGAGGACAATGCTGTAAATTCACACCGCTTCGGTAGCATTTCTGCCAATGGCCTAACTGCCCGGTCTGCAAAAAAAGACGGATGGGAAAACGACTGGGATGACTAGTGAAACAAGGTAAATTCTTGTGATCAAGACAGAAAAATACCAACCATACATAATACAATGGGAAAAGTTATAGTGACACCAAATATGACACCGCAAAGATATTGTTATTGTATGTGCGTGTCTGTGACACACAGTAGTGTCATATCTCGTGATCACTATAGCATGACTCTAATACAATTACCCAAGGAAGCCAAAATCTTGTAATTCTTTTCACTTCTTTTTTTTCACCTAATAGATTTCTTCTACCACAGAAGTTTGCTGTACCATATTGTTGCTGTCATATTTTCTTGTAGAATACCTAGAACCAGCCTCTCTCTTTTATTTTCTTTTTCTTATTTTTTTTTGGGATCATTTTAAATTTTATAATTTCTACCCATTCGTGTTTTTTTTCCTTCCATACTTGATATCCAATATTTGCTTCATTTGAGCATGGCTTTGAAAAGCTGTTTAAAACTTTAGAGTTTGGATTTTTTTTACTGGAAGCCTCACAGAAACAAGATTTTGGAGTCTGCTTTTAGTGGGTGTAGTAAACCAGTTCACCATGGGTAGATCTATTTTAACACCAAAATTTGACACCTGGTGTCAAAGTTTAATTTCAAATTTGGTGTGAGTGTAGCATAGTCCATTAACCATTGGCTGGGAATTAAAAATACAAAAATGCCTGTGTCACCAAACAGTTTGTACAAGCCTCACATGCATTTTGTTTCAGTGTTTGCCACGGCAAAACAGTTTGTACAAGTGGTGTACATGTTTGTGTGCAAAAGCATTTTTGTTAAATTTTTTTGTCAAGGATACATTGTTGGACTCGCTCTTGACACGATCATAGCGGATTCTGATCGGCATATTTCATTAAATTTTAAGATTTGTATGAAAAATTACATATATACAAATCACGTCAAAAGTTTTATAATTTAAGAGATGACACTATTATATTAGAGACATGACAATATATTATTTTATCAAATATTAATTAAAACCCATAAGTAAATACTCCCTCCGTCCGGAAATAAACTTTACGTTTCTCCTTTTTCTCCGTCCGAAAATGAAGTTTACATTTCTAATTTTAACCTACTTTCTTCCAAAAATACCCTTAACCTTTTATAAGGCTGCGTTCTGTTTGCTTGGTCTGATCTGATCTGACTTTTTAAAGATCTGGTCTGATCTGGTCTGATCTGATTTGATTATAATAAGAATAAGTAATAGGCCAAAAAAATAAGTTGAATGGAATGCTGCCTAATTCCCAACCTCTCCACTCCCCATTTGTTATCTGTCCCTTCCTTTCATCATTTACTCCATGCCTTATCCTTCATTCCTCTCCTCATTTACTTCTTCGCCTCTTCTTTCCTCATCTTGTATTTACATCTCTCATAGATCTCTCCTTATGTTCTTCGTACATCTAGATCTATATAGATCTACTCAGTTCCTCCTTCTCTTGAATGGAATTCCATGATTTTCTTTACAAATCATGCATTCCAGAAACCCAATTTGTAGATGGCGCCTACCCCTACAGCTCTGACGACAAGGATGAGGACGAGGTCATCATCCTCGACAATAACGAGGACGTTGCCGATGTTGCCCCGGTCAAAGCGATGGAGGTAATCGACCTTACCTCTGAAACCGACTCTGTTATTGATCTAGGGAGCGAGGAGGTAGAGGTCTTAGTTCTTGAAAGTGATAGTGATGGCACGGAGGGATCTGATACCTCTCAAATTGAAGCTTCTGCCCAGATCTATTCACGCATACACCTCCACATTGATGTGCTGAACATCTTACTTCCCACTCCCATCTCATAGAACAACTCCATTATCATCAAATAGTGGTCTACCAACCACACATAAGAACATGACTTTTGTAATGAATCTTTTTGATTTGCATGTCCTATACGGATCAACATTTTCAAGAAGAAGGTAAAATCTCTGAGAAGTTTTGGTCATAAAGAACTACTTCTCATCAATGTGCAATACATTGTGAAAAGTCTTGAATATAGGTGGGTGAGGGTTACTCAAAGGTTCTATTTGATCTAAACAGAATCTCAATCTAGCAAGTTTATTAGCAGCAGCAAGGTAAGGTTTAATAGCATATTAGCATTTGTATGACTCCTAATCATACCTCTTTTTATCCACTCATGGGCAGTCGACTTTGGCTTGCCAATTACTGCTGCTAATGTTCTGACAGTACCCCTCTTCATGAGGAGGTATCTGCGATAGCCTTTACTTCCGTTACTGCCCTTTTTCTCTCACACTGACCCACCATTTTGCTTCTCACATCAACGGTAACCCCCTGCTCCAATTGTTTCTCTACAATGACCCATATCTTTATAATTGTTTGTCTTGAAACATACAACTATGCAGCAAGACCCTCTCTGAGCTAAATACGACCCATCTGTACTTTGTGTTAAATTTCTAAGTAAAGTTTCACTAATAAGCTGCATTGATGTCTTGTCAAGTTTTTCGGAATTCATGTGAGGATTTTATATTGTCTTTGGAGGGTTTCAGAATGTGTGAAGGAGAAAAACAAAAAGAAGAAGAGAAATTGTCCGAAAAGGGAGAAGAAGAAACTGTCAAAGAAGGATGGAGAACAAGAAGAGGAATATAAGACAAGAATGAAGATTGCCAAAAGGGGAAAGTGGCTGCTTTTATATAAGCAGCAGAGGGATTGGGGATTCTGGGGTTTTTGGGCGGGTAGCAAAAAAACTGGAGGGAATCTCAAGTTATGTGTGATTTCATTACATTTGATTTTTTTATCATTGTTGCGTAATATTGATTTGATGTAGACCATCCCTATTCCACTATATTTAAATAGTGTTTTCTCCCATTCCCCATAACATTTTCTTTTTTCTTTTTTCACTTCCTATCCCATACGCCCCACCCTTTTGTTTCCTTTCTTTTTTTCATTAAGGGTATTCCAGTCATTTTACAGGATTAGTCAACTTCCCTTAAAAATGACCAAAAGTCAAAACGTAAACTTTAATTAAGGGATTTCCAGACGGGGGAGTAATAAACAATTATAGTGACTCTAAAACTCGGGTACTTTTTATGGCCACCAAATATTATTTCAGAGAGGGTAGTATCACTGGGGGTTGACTAGGCTTCGAATTTGACAACGGCGAAAAAAAAATGATTCTTAAGCATGGGGTCTTGCATGTATGAGAGACAGATTCCAGCTTTTCTCTACCATTGTTCACTATAATTCTTCCCAACCTTTGAACCCACCCATACTAGGGAACCTATTGCGCCTACAAAATTAAAATAGTTTTATCCAAGCCAAGTATATTTCCTAAAACGCATAAACATGGTTTTGCACATCTAATTATGTCAACATTATTCGGGACAAAAGTAAAACACACTAGATATTTTTGTACGAGTACTAAGGGACCGAGGACGAGTCAGGGGCAGATTTTGCCGTGAATGATGTGTAGGAGCTTGGGAGAGCTTCAACGGGCCTTTCAGTTGTCTGATGATAGGGCCGCCGCAACAGGAGAGCTGAGGAAGATTACTCGATGTACAGGCAATCGTGGTGGATGGCAGTTGATGATTATCAAGCCTCCAAGTGGGAGAACCAAAATGTCGTTACAATACCAAACTTGGTCATGTACATTACCAAAAAGTAAAGTAATGCGCACGTGTACAATGTCACATTATCTCTATATTACCACAGTGCGAACTTCTCTTTTTGGAATAAAAAATGTGGAAGTTCTATTTTGATATTTTTTCTATGTTTTAGCCTTATTAGGGTGATTTTATAGAAAAAATGATTGAACTTGTGGGAGATTTTGTTCGATTTCACATGGGATTCTTAACTTATAAATGTACTCCTAATTAATGAGGACTATTTATATTTGAGCGTATTAAAAGCTATTATGGTTGTTTAAAAATGAAAGCCTACCCCATCATCATCGTCCGGCTCAGCATGGCACGACTCGCACTCTAAAACATTAATTTAATATTCATTTCTTTATATTTAATCAACTCACATGAGATAATTCTAGCCGAAAGAGCGAATGAATGATATATATATTCCTTCTCTTCAACCAAAGTTTTCTCGATTTTTGTTTTCGTTCCAAAATAAAATTTTCATTATTTCTTTTTCCTTTCTATAAAAGGAATATATATTGTCTAAAATATTTTCTTCTCTTCTAAATAAAACTTAATTATTCCCCTTTTAGTGTTCAACAAATTTCAACATGCACTTCCTTTATAATAAGCAAGTTAAACCAATTTGTAAATGTTTTCAAAAAAAAAAACAATTTGTAATGGAAAGAATTACCTTCCACGAGTTGACCGTGTTCCACAATTTTGAGTCAAAGTTGTATATACTCCCTCCGTCCTAGTGTATTTATCCAGTTTGACTTTTTCGAGTCAAATTGAACAAATTTTGAGCTTCAATTAAATAAAAACTGTAATACTCCCTCCGTCCCTAAATAAACTTTCCCTTTCATTTTTTTTGTCCCCAAATAAACTTCTCTTTTCCTCTAAAAAACCTCTTTTACCTCTTACTTTTTCATACCCTACCTATCACATCATACTTTTTTACTAATAATTTACATATCACATCAAGGGTATTTTTTGGAAAGTCAACACAAAAATATCCCTCCCTTAAATCCTCAAAAAGTCAAAAAAGGAAATTTATTTAGGGACGAAGGAAGTATATTTTAACATAAAAATGACTTTATTGAATTTATTGTATTGAGAACTTTTAAAATTGTATTTCATTATATTAATATGAAACATAAATTGAGAGTAATTGTAGTTCAAAGTTTATCTAGTTTGACTCAAAAAAGTCAAACTAGACAAATACACTGGGAAAGAAGTAGTACTTTGTATGGGAGGAATATAATGTGGTAGCACCCCGTCACGGCATCTCCCACATGCCAAGATTAATGTCGTCTAAAGTCTTCCATTTAAGTATTTAACCCAACTTTAATCATTACGTATTTATTAGGTCCCCCATTCAAAAGTGAGTAAGCCTTTGTTTTTCATGTACACTATCTTTGGTTTAAAAAATTTTAAAAGATAATAAAAAAAAATGTTAAATAGATTTTTTTGTTTGATTAGATCAAAAAAGAAAAATAAGAGAAAAAGAAATTGAGAAGACAAAATATACCAAGAGAAAAGAAAGTTCTTTTCTTTTTTTTTTCAAATTTCTTGAATCAAACATAATGTTAATGTTAGACAATATCTTGTTAATATTCTTTAATTTTTATATTACGAGTACTTTTTATGGTCTCTAACATTGTAAGCACTAATATTTGTAATTATTCATGATATATATTATAAAAATGTGATATTTTAAAATTATGTTTAATAGAAAATATATTCATATTAAGTTCATTTAATTTCTTAATAACACTACATTTTTTCTCAATGTCATGATCAAAATTTGTAAATTTTGACTAAGAAATTTTTCATGAGAAAAACTTCCAAACGCAGAGAATAAATTCTTTTTTTAATCAAAGATGAGAGTAAATAGTTATTAGAGCATAAATATTTTATTTGGCCTCCACAGGTATGACCCCGAGGATTCGGTGGTCCGAGAAGAAACAAATAAAATAAATGTTGGCCCTAACAAAATAAATTTATATAAATTATTTTTGTAAACAATAATTAATATTGTAATAAAACACATTTCAAAATTATAATATTATAGTGAAACATTATAATAGCTACCTTAAAAAATTAAGTTTTTTTAAATTTTTTATTACTGTAAAAAATATACTCCAGCAAATAGACCCACAACCATGAATTTAACATTTTTTTCAATTTGTCCTTTTTTTCCAAAGTCAATTTGTCCATTTAATATTTAGAGCACTAGCTAGAAATACGTATGAAGTCCCGGGGCTTTAAAGTTTCTCTCTCTATCATGTCAGCTTGGACTGACCGTGCCGCCTCGATCATCAGTTTGTCGCCTTTCGCTTTGTGACTCTTCCGGCGTGCACTTTTTTTGGTTTCCGATGGTTCCGGGTTGAGTCTCCGGAACTGACTCCGCCTCCTCGAGGTTCACCGATGGTTGCGTTTCGAACAACCTTGGATTACTCTCGTATTGTTGGAAGATCCACATCACGTACTCGTTTGACTTGAGATCGTCGGGGGAAAAACTGGAGCTGGAGGAATTCATGTTAACAAAAATTGAAGAAAGGAAAGATGTGAAGAAGATTGAAAATTGGAGATTGAAGAAAGGAAAGATGTGAAGAAGATTGGAGATTGAGTTTGATATTTATAAAAAAAATAAATAAAGAATTTTTTTAAAATGTGTAACAGCTAAATTAGCTGTTGGGGGGGGGAGAGTTTTGCATTAAACCGTTGACGCAAGCCAATGACGCCGAAAAGACGTTAAACGCCCCATGGTGTCCCCGGCGTCACACGTAATTTCCACTGCTCTTAGGGACAACGTATATATTTATATTAAAAAAAAGGTATTAGCACTCGTTTTCTCTTTTTCCATCCCAAAAGAGTTTTACTTCCGCTTAAAAGAGAAAAAAAATCACTTTTTTGCATGCATTTTTAATTATACAAATTTATTTTATATACTGCTTGGTTACTAAATCGATGGTGACAAGAAAAGGGGAGACAATAAAACTAAATCGATGGAGTGAAATAGACTTGGTTACTACGCGTATTAATTAAATACGGAGTAATTAATGATGAGCTCACAAATGACCAACCCCATTGATTTGTTCTTCTATTGTCTCCCAATTTTGGACCCTTACTTTCTTTGATTCTCAAGATTCGGCTACACTTTAAGACACCCACCCCATTAATTAAAGTGTGTCTTTGTTCTTTTCAATTTATTTGATTAGTTCTGATCTGATTCTATTAAATTTTTATCTAACTTAATTGTAATTATTTTAAAACTTCTTTTTGATATGATCTGATATGTTTTTAATAAAAATAAGTAACAAGTAAAAGCAATAAGTTGAAAAGAACAAGCTTTAAGAATGTTAAATCTAAATAATGTCATTGTGTATATAAACTTATTTTTTACCAAGTGTAGTATACAAACTTTAAAAATGTTAATCTAAATAATTTTTCATTAAATAAAATTTTCAAAATGCTAATGTTAAATAAAAATATAAATTTTTTAGGAAAGTTGCTAGGTGTCAAAAGGAAAGTGTTGGTTTTTAACATGTTTTTGTGTGCTTATAAGCTGACTTATAAGCTGCATATGAACTAGAAAAAATAAAATAGGTCTTAGCTACTTATTTTTAAACCTGTTTTTATGTTTCTCTTTTTTGACCAAATTATTTACAAAATTGTTTTTCACCATTTAAAAATATTTTCAAGTGACTTATCTATCATTTAATTTTTTTTACCTTCAGATCAAACTCATTCCTGATCATATCAGATTCATTCAGATCATATCAAATCAATCTTAAAAAGTTGAGTTTAGATCATATCAACCGAAGAGAACACAGTAACACCCCTTTGTTAGCTTATTTGTGTATAATACGCGTATTATACACCCGTATGTATAATATGCGTATTATACTCTCGAATACGAATTTTTCAAGTGACAAACGTATAATAACCGTTTTTTGAAGCCAAACGTATTTACGAATTTTATACGTATTGAATCATAAAAATCTTTTTCTTTCGACTCCAATAATCAAAATTTAGAAGGTCAATCTTTTATTTCATCAATTTACTTGATTGTCTTCTTCCCAAAAATACAAATTTTCGAAATTCGCCGACTCAACAAATGTAAAAGTATTAGAATCAGAATGCAGTTCAAGCCATTCACCAATGTCTTTTGTTAATTAAATATCATTCATGGTCTACCAGTCTCTTCGACTCCATCTAGTTGGGAGTCCAACATTTCTACTTCTCTAACAAATACTAGGCATCAACCTTATCTTTATTTTTTAGATTTTTAAAAAAATAATTAATTTTTTGTATTTAGTTTTTTTATTTGGTTAAATTTTTATCGACTCTTTATAATATAAATTTGATTTCATTTGTGTGATCTAAATTCTAAAAATATAAGTTCGTAACTGTATTTTTCATTCTAAAAATGAAAAATATAAAGTTGATTTCATTTTATTCAATTTTAAATTGCGTAAAAGATTATTTAATGAGTTTATATTTATATTACAAAGAGACTTAAATCTTCATTAATATTCGCGATAACATTTAATCAATTTCGTAAAACTCAAATTGTCTAATAATATACGGACACTACAAAAAAAACCCTAAATTGATATGGAAAAATTCTGTCGCAAAAGAGCTTTTTTCATAGCAGATTGAAAAATTGTGACGGATTTGCTACTGTGGCGGAGAGATGACTTTTTTTTCGCATGTTTGAGCAAATTATCCATTCGTATCTAAATGTTAGTTTTATTTTTAACGTGTTCTTATATTTTGTGAAAGTACATAATAATAGTTTATTGAAAGATTCTTTGAATACACATGGAAAAAATAAATAAACGAAAAATGGTGGTATTGATTGATTTTTCAAAATTTTAATGGTGTATTTGTATTCAATTCCAAGGTTAAAACTGTCTTTCTTATTTAAAATATTTGTACAAATTATAACCCATATTTTTGAAAAAATCAAACGTATTAAACACAAACGTGTCCGTATACATACCCCGAACGTATAAAGTGTACAATTAGACATATTTTTAAAATGTGACCCGTATTATACACGATCGTACGAATAAACATACTCTGTATTATATATGTATCCGAATAAGCTATCTAGAGGTAACACCCCTTTATTTTGGATAGAAGAACACAAATGAATTGAGTATGTATTTGGAAACAGAGAGTTTTGAGTTGAATAGAATATTTAAAGTACTGTATAAAAAACCATATGGCAGGGGATTAAACCAAAAACAAAAACACCTTCAAATGCCCAATCAATCATCTGCATGAAGAATTTTCACTAAATCAAAATGTTAAAAGGCCCCAAAGTTTCAGCCAGTGAAGAGAAACCAATTCAACCCATCCACTCTCATAATAAATACAACAAACAAAAAATAAAAAATAAAAAAAAAATTGGACCACTCTTCACTGAAAAACTTCTTTGCCCTTGCCAAACATGCCCTAACTTCAGCAATTCATTCCAGATCATCACCACCACCACCACCATGGCTTTCTGCAGAAGAACACTGAATGAGTTCCAAGATTCTGACAACTTCCTCCATGTCTGGCCTACTGGAAGGCACTTGAGATGCACAAATGAGGCCGAGTTTTATGACCGGAATCGCCTCCTCCACCGCGAAAACCCCTTCCAACCTCTTATCCACACACTCCTCCCCCACATTGCCCCTCTCCAGTGCCCCCTTCACATAATCACACAGCACAAACACGTCATCCTCCCCGTACTCCGCCGGCCTCCTCCCACTCACCACCTCCAATGTCAACGCCCCAAACCCATACACGTCCAACTTTTCTGTTATTTTCACCCCGTGGCACCCAAACTCGGGACCCACGTACCCCAGCGCGCTCTGTACCTTGCTGCTAAGGGTATATCGGTCCACCACGGGCAATAGCCTAGCCAGCCCAAAGTCCCCTAGCTTTGGTTCCCCCCCTGACCACCTGTCGTCTATAAGGACATTACTGGACTTAATGTCATAGTGAATCAGGCCCATCCTGTGTAGATGGGCTAACCCTTTGGCTACACCTAAAATGATTCTGAATCTTTGGGTCCAAGACAGGACAGCCCCATCCTCGTGAAGACGTTTGTAAAGACTCCCTCCGGTTACGTATTCGCTGATTATGAGATGTAGGGTAGGTGTCCAATAATAGCCTTCAATGGGAACCAGGTTTGGGTGTTTAGCCTCTGCAAGACCCTTTACTTCCCTCTCAAAGTCTTCACCAGACTTTATTGACCCTGAAAATTTTAGCTTCTTTATGGCCACAGACCGTCCGTCACTAAATTCACACCTGTAAACCGATCCGAACAGGCCACGCCCGAGTTCAGAACCCTCGTTGAGAAGCGGTTCATCGGTACCCGAACCGAAATCAGCATTGCCAGAAAACATAATGAGCTTCCCGTAGCTGGCTTCTCCGGTGCCACCGTAGGAAAGGGTAAATTCATCCCCTCGGGAAAATGACACGTCAGCATGCCACCTGGAAGGGGAACTACGGACGAGAAGGTTGACGAAGGTGATGGTGACCACACCAAGAGCGATGAAAACAGCAGCACCGATGGCGACAAGGCACGACACGCTGAGCATGTTTCCCTTCTTGGCATTGCCATAATCATTTGGGTTAATGACTACCGGTTTTTGATTAACCGGCGGGCAAGAGAGGTTGAGAACCGAGCCACAGTTTAGGGTTTTGTGTAACTTCTGAGAGTGGGATGGTGTTGAAAAAGCCTCCAACTCGCAGTTGCCCTTGCAGATGGTTGTGGGAGACGTTAAATGAGATCAAACGGGTTAGGCCGGACAACTCTCTGGGTAATGTCCCAGAGATATTGTTGAAAGACAAATCCACAATCTCGAGGTTGGTTAGCTTTGCTAGAGCAAAAGGGATTCGACCTGTGAGCCGGTTCTGCGATAGCACCCTATATAACAACACATCACAAAATGCAATTCAGTAAGTTTTACTATGTATAAACTATGCCTAAAGAAGGAAGAAGAGACTTGTTATGAGGCAGAGAGCTTACAAAGAAGTTAAAGATGAGCAAGTCTGAATGTCTGTTGGGATCACTCCGGACAAAAGATTTCCTTCCAGGTTAAGTTCCTGCAACATAACTGCTTTCCCGATTTCAGAAGGGATGCTTCCGTTTATCAGGTTGTGACTCAAATCAAGAACTCGAGGCTGATTCAGTCTTCCAAATAAAGTTTTCGGTATTCCACCAGACAACGAGTTATTGGAAACATTAAAGATCTGTAACCGGGTAAAGTTCCCAATGGAAGAGGGAATCTCACCAGATAATGCATTGGAAGATAGGTCCAAAACTTGAAGACTTTGATAAGAGGATGATGCTGCTGAAATAAGAGAGGGTTCAATGCTTCCAGTGAACCTATTCCTGGAAAGAAATGCGCGAACCAAACCTGACCTGAAAATCCATGAGGGTAAGTTGCCATTGAACCTGTTCTGGCTCACATCAACAACAGAAAGATTGACACAGTTCAATAAAGACCCTGGCAAGCCTCCAGTGAACCAATTCTTGGACAAATTTGCCTCCTTCAAGAACTGAAGTTTCCCAATGGAATCTGGAACCTGGCCGGACAAATCATTCCCAGAAAGATCTAAAATTTCCAACCGTTTCATATCTCCAATCCAATCTTGAGCCTTTCCAGTCAACATATTTCCCCTAAGATTAAGATAGCTGCACGATCCCAGTTTCTGCATAGAGTCGGGAAGGCCTCCGGTGAGTGCATTGTCACTCAGATCAACAGATTCTAAAAGCCAGCAGTTCCTGATATTCTCGGGCAGCTGACCGCTAAAATTGTTCTTCCTCAGACTCAACCACGTCAAAGCGTAAGAACTCGCAAACACATTTGGAATCTCACCTTCCAGAGAATTATCAGAAAGATCAAATGACTTTAATGAACTCAAAAACCATGGTCCAGATGGCAAATGACCCGAAAGCCGGTTGGACGATAGGTTAACCCTTTCCAATGTTGAGCATGTACCAAGAGAAGGGGGGATTAAGCCAGTGAGGCTGTTCATTGCCAGCGAAACAATCCGAAGAGAACTGCATTGTGAGAAAAACTCATTAGGGATTGAGCCGATAAACCTGTTTTGGCTCAGATCAATCAAACTCAAGCTGGGATTTCGGGAAAGAAAGGGGTTGATATTCCCAGTGAAATTGTTATTCGACAAAGATAAAACCCTCAAGAACTGCAATTTCAAAAGTCCTCTCCCTCCTACATGCCCAGAAAGAGATAAGTTGTCAAGAACAACCTCAGTGACTCTCTTAGACTTAGGATCACATTTAATCCCCTTCCAATTACAGTGGTTATCAGCATCATCCTCACTCCAAGATGCGAGTTTTGAATCCGGGTCTGTAATCCCAGCTTTGAAGACAATCAGACCCAGAACATCGTCTGTGAACGCCGCCGGGTCCACGGAGAAAACAAGACCCGGAATCAAGAAAAGAATAATAAAGATATACAGCAACATTTCCACTACCCAAACAAGGAATAGTTTGACTAACACAAACAAGACAAGAGTAGGTAACATTGGGTTTCGTAAAGACAGAAACTTTCCTGTGCTAAGACGGAAATGCGACCGGTGAATAAGGCCATTGTTCCCGGAAGACGACGGAATTCGAGTCCAGCAACCGCCGGTGAAAGAAGTTTCTGCAAACCCCTAAAAAAAGATAGAGAAAATGGAGGGGTGGGGGGTCTTTGAAGGAGGAGGAGATGAGTGCGGAGCACATAAGCGTTTGAAAGAGACAGAGAGGTGCGCTAGCTAGCTTTTCTCGAGGAGGACCATTTGAAGCCTCTCTGTCTTATGGGGTTTAAAGACGAGAGAGAAGATGTGCAGTAACTATACCGTACTGCTACGCTGGTTCATTCAAAAAGAGAAAACGCATTCATTGCAGTCTTTAATACCAATTGGAAGTACTCTCTCACTTGTCAGAGCATCTCCAACTATGCTTGCTATATTAAATTGTTATTGTTAAATTTTAGCTAGTAATAGTAATATAGTAAGTAGTTTTTTCCTCCATTTTGCAACTATGCTAGCTAAATTTTAACCAAGAATGGATTTTTCTAGTGCCTCTCTCTATTTTCATGATGAGATTACTTTTTTGGACCCTTAATTTAATTTTTTATTAATTTTTTTGGTTTGCTATTATTTGGGTGGCTTGCCTCCGTCCGCCTCCAGGATCACGTCACATCATTCTTTCTATTAACCTGCGTGTAGCAAATAAANAAACATACTACACGCTCAGCGGTAAAGCTGAGTAAGCATATCTAATGCGTCGAACATCCATATAAATTGTATCTCAATTCACAATCAAATCATTTGATATCATGCACATAATGTTCAGTTCAGATATTCAATAATCAATATTCAATTTTCAACATTCATTATTCAATCGTTCAACATGTATGTTCTTCATTTGTCATTCAACAATATCCTTAAACTATTCTTAGTCTAAGGCCAATCATTTTAATATTTGTAACCCTTAAATGAATTCTAGTTTAACTAATTAAACTATATTCCAGTATACAGAGTACTCCTAATAATCCTTAAGCTAGGCATAGTTTAAGATAAAAGGGTTTTGGAAATCTTAAACTTACCTTCACTTAAGGCCAACCAAAAACCGACAGCGTAGTGTTCACTGTTGGGTGGGTGGTACCCCCAAACGAGTAGGTACTCAAGTTTGGTTCTTGGATCCCGTACGTACGTGTTAACTCTAGCCACCGGGCATCATACCCGCAAGGCCTAACTTATATAGGTATATCTTAGAGTTCTTCTAGATACCTTTCAAATCAACATTAATATGGTTATATCTTAGAGGTCTTCTAGATACCCTTGACAATACATATTATTTTCACAATCATCAATATATTCATTATGATTTAATCATTCATAATTACCATTTTTAATCAAAACATTTATCAAGATTTAATCATCTTAATCACCAACCAATAATCATTACCATAATCATCAACATATTCATTTTTAATCAGTAGGTTCATTAATCATAATCATCAATCAACATAACATTTAAAGCAATAACAATTAGCGGTCTAGTTTCAAGTGTTAACACCCAAACTTACCGTCATGCATCACATACATTTTTATTTGTTAAAAACATCATTTTTATTGTAAAGAATCATCCTTAAAATAATCATAATCAATTGGTATCAAAAATAGGATTTTAGAGCTCAAAAATAGCAATTTCAGGCAAATTTTCGGATCAGAACTTCGGGGGATCGATCCAGCCCTCTGGATCGATCCAAACTATGAAAAATCACTTCCAGGGGATCGATCCAAGCCCCTGGATCGATCCAGACAGTGGTGTTTCAGCCACTGTTCATCTTCTTCTTCGTTCGGGTCCAATTTCGGAAATACCGTTTTTAGTTATCGAACTTCAACGAAACTATATAGAGATGTTCTCCAAGGTTCATAGATCATTTTGGCATCATTAATTCATAGTTTTAACATCAATTTCATGGTTTATGATTCTTGGTTCTTCAAGCATGTCAAACACAAAACTCAACCAAACGACCGTTTATGAACGTAGAAACGATCTATACGAACATTCTAGTCACTAGATATATCTACGGGCTTACCTCGAAGCTTAATGGAGGTTTTGAAGATTTTCCGGCGAAACTTCCGGCAAAGATTGTGGCTTGCTCAGGCGACTTCACACCAAATTGACAGCACAACTTCGTTCTCCACTCTCAAAGCTTTCTCTCAGAGTTTATTTGAAGGAGAATGGTGAAGAAATGAGGAAGTTAGCTTCTCCTTTTATAGGGAAGATGAAGAAGAAGAAAACAAAGTCTGAGTAGATGCTGCGTAGGAAATTCACATTCTTCTTTCGGCGATAGTGCGACTTAAGGAGACTCAGCACGTTACTCTCTGATTGGGACTAATTTGGTCCGAGTCGGGGTATACTTTTTGGTCCAACTTTCTCCGAATTGAAATCCGTTTGCACTGTTGCGATCGTGCAATTAAACTCTATCCAACGATATAATTTTTACATTTATTTGTTATACTTTTTCCGACATCATATTTTTGGTGTTTGACTTTGACAGAGTCAAAATTGGTTTAATTGACCTTTATTCAAAAAGGTTCTCATATTTAATTCATATTATTTATTTCAATGATTTATTTCAATAAATCATTTCAAAGTTCACATTATAAACAATTTATTCATTTATTCTTAATTTGGGTCTGTACTCAGGTTCCCAATCAAGATCACACAATAAGTCAACACATTGGATTTACCTCTATGAGATTTATCATGATTATGATAGTGGATATCAAAATAAATTTCGTATCGGCCCAAAGCCCAACAATAATTTATTTTAATCAAAACAAATTTGATTAATTGATTATTTATTCATTAATAATTCTAGGGTATATTTTGGGGCGTTACAATGGGAAGATCTCAAAAGCATTGATAGTACTACTCATACCAACAAGGTGCATCTTATTTTTGGGAGCTCATCACCTAGAAACTCCAAAGTTAAGCGTGCTTGACCTGGTGCAATTTTAGAATGGGTAACCCCCTGAGAAATTCCTTGGGCACGCACGAGTGAGGACAAAGTGTGCGAGAAAGACTTGTGTTGGTTTGTGGGGCCAGTCTACAATCCTATGAGCGAACACTTACGGCCAGAGTGGGGGCTGGGGTGTTACATTTAGGCTTATACATTGAAAGAATTTGATGAGTCAAAGTGCTTAGATGAACAGTTTCAAAAGTCAAAACTGGACGAATATTCTGGGACGGATGGAGTATTATTATTATTATTATTATTATTATTATTATTATTACAACTGTTACGTTCATAATTATAGTTTATAAATTATTTTTTTCATCTCACTATTTTTACGATTTACACTAATTATTTTTTCTTCAACTTTTTTATATGAACAAGACAATTTTTTTGTATATTAATCTACATGATAAAATAAGAAAACATCAATATGTTAAACTATGTTAAAAAATTATGGATAAAATAGTGAGATAGAATATTTTATTAATCTAAATTTATTTAAGGCCTCTCACATTTCCCTTTATTACTTAGAATATTCTCATTTTTCTAATTTTTATAAAAAACTGAAAGTCAAAATAGTTTAGAGAAAATACTAAAATAGGAGTAAAACATAAAAAATGTAAAAAAAAAGTTTTATATGTTTATTTCAAAAATAGGACTTCAATGAAAATAAAATGTCAAACATGAAAGAAAAATAGGTGCAACGTAACCACAAAAACTTTTTAAAATGTAATATTTTTACATTTATACTAACTTTATATTATAATCTTTTTTTGCAAAAGTAGTTTTTTGTATTTGAAAAACAACAATACTTTTTTTGTATCTTAAAATCATTTATTAAGATAACGTGATGATGATGATGATGATAATTTATAACAACAATTATTTAAAATAAGTTTTTTTAAAAGTTTTTTTAGATTTTATAATTTTTTGAAGTTTCTTCCAGTTCCTTACAGTTTCTTCCATTTTCTTCCAGTTCTTCTAGTTTTTTCCAATTTCTTCCAACATCCAGCTCTTTTTTTCCAGTCCTAAAGAACAGGCTCTATGTACTGCTACAAAACCACCGGTTACTTATATAGCACTAAGTTTTTTATTTAAATGGGAGTTTTAGCGTGAAGGATTCTAAATATACATTTTTAATAATTTTATTTAGTTCCTTAGTTTTAGGACTTCAATTATTCTCTTGCCATGTATGTAGTGGTTACGTCTATGCATTCTTTACACAATGATGCCGTTCAAACTCTTCGATTATTCATTCACATTGTCATCTACCAAGATCACCACAAGGCAAGTGACAGTGTGGCGGCTAAGTAGACAATGTGGCGGCAATGGTGGCTGTGTGACTAGGGAAGGGGGTAGTGATGGAAGCGGGGGGAGGTAGTATAACGGTAAAAAAAGGCAATGTGGTAACCCAAATTAATATAATCTTAAGAATTAAGAAAAACGGGTAGAATGAGCACACTCCGTATTAAAGATAATATCACGCTTAATACTCCTATTGATGTCAAAAATGACATAGCAGTGCTAGATAGGTAATTTTAGATACATTATAGTGTCACATAGGAAAATCCCTCAAAGTGTGTAGGAAAAAAATTACGCCAACAACACATTTTTTAACGGGAAAATTACCCAGGATAACCCCAACTTTACTCGATCTTTCAAAAATAATTCGGTAAGTCTAAAATGACACCAGTGCTACTGGTGTCATTTGCTTACACCAGTTCGTTTGGGTACCTACGGTGCTCCGTTTGTAAAAACGACGATTCCTACCCCCTAACCCTCCCCCTTAGCCCCCCACCCCAGCCCCCCTCCCTACCCTGGCAGGACACTGCTTGGCAGTGTCCTGGGTAGGGAGGGGGGCGGGAGGGGGGGCTGGGGTGGGGGGTTTAGGGTGAGGGTTAGGGGAGGTAGGAACCGTCGTTTTTACAAACGGCGCACCCTAGTTACCCCAAACGAACTGGTGTAAGCAACTGGTGTATAAGTAACTGGTGTCATTTTCTCTGTGATGCATAATAATCCAAATTTTACTGACATTTTTGAGTCTCCGTTAAGTTACTAACAGCGGGTTAACAGAAACGGTCTAATGAAAGTTAGGATTATTTTTGATGAATTTTTGTTGTTTTTTTTGAAATTTTCATTTTAATTTTTAAAATTATTTCATACCTCCATCATTTCTTTTTCTTTTTTTAAAGATTAGTCTTACTTTTAAAAAAGTAAAAATGATAGATATAAGAAATAACGAAAATGAGAAAAGTAAATAAAATGATACAAAATTAATAAAATAAATAAGGTAATCAAAAAAACTAACTTAAAACTGGTAAGAAATATAAAAAAAATATACAGAGTGATGGGTTTTTAATATTTTACGCACTATAGAGAGTATTAATGTGCCACTGCTCCTTTTTTTTCGAAAAAATTATCTAGAATAATTCCGATTTTACTAGACGACCTATTTTTTCATAAAATAAGTAATACATTAAGCCTCTGTATAGTACGTAAAATATTAAAACCCACCACTACATATATTTTTATTTTATGTCTTACCGATTTCAGTTACATTTCTATTTATTACCTTATTTATTTCATTATTGTTTTTAATGATTTTAGTAAAATTTCTCTTTTTCGTTATTTATTATTATTTTTATTTTTCTCTAAGGCAAAACTAATATTTAAAAAAAGAAAAAGAAATGGACGTAGAAAGTTATTTTAAAATTTTAAAAGAGAATTTCAAAAAAATAAAAATAAAAAGAATCATAAAAAATAATCCCAACTTTCATTTTCTTGAGCAAAATGGGAATTTCCGTTAACCTGCTGTTAGCAATTTAACGACGACCCAAAACTCATAAAATTTAGTAAAGTTAGGATTATTATGCATCACATTGAAAGATGAGATTATATTTGAAAGATCAGGGCCTTTCTTGGATGTTGGATGTCGGCTGTTGGTTGTTGCTGTTTCTGTCAGCTGTTTTGAATGCCTATTTAGTATACCTGATTTGACCGGCTGGATGTGTTTGCTGATCGTTAAAAATGTTTGGTAAAATTAGTTGTTTGAAAATAGCTGCTTCAAGATTTAATATATATATATATATATATATATATATATAAATTTTTTCTCATTTCATTTATTTTGTTTTTTAAATTTTAAAAAGCCAAGTCCAAAAGCTACTCCCTTTGGCTTTTCAAATTTCGGCTTTTCAG